AGGAGACGAGCCAGTCAGGGTGCGATGTAGCAACGATGGAAAATACAACTTTCCTCTAGTTCCTAAATGCTTCCTCCCCGCCCCCACTAACATGATACGATTTCTACCTTGCAAGTCTGGCTGGACCAGAGGGTGTACACTGGTACAGATAGAAACTGGAAACACAGGGAATCTAGGGTGGATGATCCCTTTAGGGCCAGTGGTGTGAGTGGCGATACTGGGAGGGTAGAGGGAGAGTAGGTTGGAAAGAGGGAACCTATTATAAGGAACTATATGTGACCCCCTCCCTGAGGGACTGACAACAGAAAAGTGGGTGAAGGGAGACGTCGGACAGGGCAAGATATGACAAAATAATAATTTATAAATTATCACGGGCTCATGAGGGAAGAGGGAGCGGGAAAGGAGGGGAAAAATGAGGACCTAAAGCCGGGGGCTTAAGTTGAGAGGAAATGTTTTGAGAATGATTGTATGGATTGTGATAATGGATTGTAATAAGAGTTGTATGAGCCCCTAATAAAACGATAAAAAAACACGGGTTCTCTGCTCAAGTAACTTTAGGACATGCTGCTTTAAGGTTAAATAGGTTTCTTTAGTGCAACTTTTCAAACAGCCTTTAAAATACTACTGAGGAAGATGAGAACAGTCTGTAGTCTCTTAACTTGCTTGGCTGAAGTCTTTTCTCTAAGCAATATCTCTCAGAACTTCTATTCTTGGAAGCTCACTTTCAGAAATGAGAGGTGAAACCTCGGGAAGCTCTGAAATTTGATTATTTTATAACAGGGTAATTGATAGAATAAAATGAATCAAGAAATAAGACAAAGGGATTGGAATTTCATTATTTTGGAGATGAAAGAAACTTCCAGAAAGTATCCAGTGGTTTGTTATCACCTCCTTTTTTAAAAAAAAAAAAGTAGCTGTGGTTACATGTTTTGCTAATCACAAAGTCAGCAGTTTGAAACCATCAGCCACTCTTCAGGAGAAAGACAGGCCTTCTATTCCCATAGAGTTGCAGTTTCAGAAACTCGTAGACACAGTTATATCTTGTCCTATACCTGGTTGCTATCAAACCGCTCGACTCAATGACAGTCAGTTTGGTTTTTGGCTTGGTCACCTCTCCACACAAAATTAAATTTAGCACAACAATATGTAAAATTAATTAGGATAGAACTCTTCAGGCTGAACTAAGGTAGAAGACTAAAGTCCCAGGGATTGGGACTCCCTGAGGCAGCCTACATATACCCTATCCAAAACCCAGTGTCCTGGGAAGCAGAGATGGAAATTGAGGGACTCCTGACCCTTTCTCAACTCAGTGCCATCGAGTTGATTCTGACTCATAAAGACCCTGCCCCTGTGGGTTTATGAAATTGTAAATCTTTTCAGGAGTAGAAAGCCTCATCTTTCTCCCAAAGAGTGGCTAGTGGTTTCGAACTGGTGATCTTGCCATTTGCCGCCCAATGCATAACCCATTACACCTCCAGAGCTCTTGACCATTTAGATGACGCTATTCTGGGAACGTTTTAGGCAAGACAAAGAACTCATAAATACATTGACAGGAAAGTTCTTCATCCATCTGAAGTACCATCTCAATTTTAATGGTAATTATTGCAAATGAGATCCATAAACTATTCATTACTTAAATAGAATTACAAAACCCTCCTTGCTCCAGGAAAAATCTTAAGGCAGATAATGTACTATCACGTAATCCCTGCACAGATAAGCAGCCACTAGAGGTAAGCAGTGAAGAGACATTGTTAAATTTGGGTTTTAAGAAGATACCTCTGGTAGCAGAAATATATTTTGAGAGTGGCTGAGGGACCTGAGACTATGATATCAGAGATACTAGGAAAACCTGGCAAGATACTTGTATTTGATTTCTTATTTATTCTTCAATATTTTATAAAGTCTTTTGGGAAAGAGTCAAGCCTATCATAATTGTATTAAGGGAAACCCCAACGGAAAAAGGGCTGTCAGGATTTTCAAAGGGGAATTGCCCCTCAAGAGGTGAACATGATGGACATAAGAAGCATGAGAGAGAGACAGCTATCTTTCAGGGCATGATGAAATCAAGGAGGCAAAAATCAATACTACCCATCAGACACCTCTCCTGGTTTGCTAAAAGTCAGTCTCTAAAAATCAGAATCCAATTGTAAAGAAGACAATTTCCTAGCAAAGATGTGGGGCTCAAGGCCAATGTCCATACCATTCTTTTTCTTTTTCTTTTTTTAAATCAATTTATTGGGGCTCATAAAATTCATCACAATACATAGATCAATTGTGTAAAGCACATCTATACATTTGTTGTCCTCATCATT